ATTTATTTATTTATTTATTTATTTTTTTTCTTTGTAGGTTTTGTAACTGCCAGGAGTTCTTGCAATTCTTGTAATGCTCATCCTTATCTCTGTATGACAGCACTGCATTATTTATCTGTCTCCCGCCACAATTGGATTTTCCCCCCGAAGCTATGAGGAGGCATCTATGAACGTTTCAGAAATTTGTACAAAAAATTCCAGATAACTAGGGAGTGCCAGAAATTTTGAGTGCTGGAGGCAGGTCCAATGATATCTGGTAAGTTAGGGCAATTTTATAGGGGATCCGAGATAACAGGAATATTCAGATGTACGGGTGTTATTGGCCAAAGGGCTCCTAGGAAATAGACTTTGTTTAGTCCGAAGAAAGGGGGTTGCATCCCGAACACACAAAACTGAAAGGAAGTACTGATATTCTTAAAATTATTGCATCAAAAGCATTTGTCGGCCTCCTATGGTGTGGTGGTTATAGCGCTAGCTCTATGACCGGGAGGTCGCGGGTTTGATTCCTGGCCAGGCGACCCGTGTTTGATGGTCTCAAATAATGGATGTAGGGACAGGACTGAAGCGCAAGGATTAGCCCTTGTGGGCTATTTGAAGTAGTAAAAAAAAAAGGAGTTACAATTTTTGCTGAGAGAGGATTACACCTCTCGTTGCTAACTTGTAGCTTTAGCTCTATTTAAGGGTCCAAGGAAAATATTTTACTACTTTTTTTAGTGAACTTTATGGTGATATTTCCCACAAGAATGTTTTCTCTGACGAAATGTTTGATTTTTTAGGTCCGGACTTAACCCCTGAATGAATTTGTTTGAGCAATTTTGTTCCGGTGTTTTTTGTCCGAACATTTTCTAAATTTAAAATTTAGCAAACAAAAAAACACATGTCTTTGAGTTGGTAGATATTTTGAAATTCTTCATCTCGATCTCTGATGGAGTAGAGATCTCTGACGGGAAAATATATATCAACCTGCTTTATTTTCATCGTGGTATTCATGGTTTTGGCTTAAGGTCTGCCTAAATCATTTTTAACGCATTTTCCAAGTATTAAACTTTGCAACATCTGACTGGTTTCCAAAATGAAGTTTATGGGAGGTAATTGTCAAATGCCTAGGCAAATAGTCAAATATTCTCACTCAGATGGAAATTTTGATTTTTTACCCTAATTTTAGACAAAATAACTCGTTGCTCCTGTAAGAAAGTACGAGGGTCATCCAAAAAGTAAGTTTCCCTACCTTGTATCTTCCGAACGAAAAGAGATAAATCAAATCGGTAAAAAATCACGTATTAGGCATACTCTAAGCTTTAAAACAAGCTCAAGTTTTTGAAAATCGGTCAAGGGGTTCGCGAGTAAACTTAATTTTACTGAGACAACCTCCTGTCGCCGCGTGCCCACCTCCGGGGTCAGGCTGCGCGGAGAGTCGGATATAGAAGACTCGGGTTATCGCCCCTATACATCACATCAACAAGAAATGTTAAAGTTTTCATTGAGTAACTACCTTACTAGTAGTTAGTATAGTAGTTACCTTACTTTTTGACGTAGTCTTCACATCTTCTTTGACATTTTTGGTATCATTACAGCAGCTTCTTGATGCCCTCCGCGTAGAAGATCTCGTCTTGGCTCCGAAACTAGTCATTGACAGCGATCTGCACTCCCAAATCAGTTGCTTTGCGTATGGAAATTTTCCCCCACCCTTCAAACTTTCGTACTTTAGCTTCATGTGAATTTCATTTGTTCCCAAGCGGAAAAACTTCCACGATGGAAGCGATTTTCAAACGATTCAGAGGTACAGATCGCTGTCAATGACTGGTTTCAGAGTCAAGGCGAACGCTTCTACGCGGAAGGCATCAAGAAGCTGCTATGATGATACCAGAAATATCAAAAAAGATGTGGAGACTATGTCAAAAAGTAAGGTAAGGCCTGCTCAATGAAAACATTAAAATTCCTTGATGATGTGATGTATAGAGGCGATAACCCGAGTCTTCTATAATCGACTCTCCGCACATCCTGACCCCGGAGGTGGGCACGCGGCGACAGGAGGTTGTCTCAGTAAAATTAAGTTTACTCGAGAACCCCTTGACCGATTTTCAAAAACTTGAGCTTGTTTTAAAGCTTAGAGTATGCCTAATATGTGATTTTTTACCGATTTGATTTATCTCTTTTCGTTCGGAAGACACAAGGTAGGGAAACTTACTTTTTGGATGACCCTCGTATTCTATGTAAAAATATGCAGCATACAATAGTATTTTAAACGATTTTAAGATCCTGAACACATACCTCATGAAATTTTCAGCACATCATAAAACATTAAATTCTTAAAATTTTAACATTTAAATGTACTAAAGGCATGTGAAAAGGAAGGAACAAGGAAAGTTCACAGATTGGAAGAGATTCTTCCCAAAATATTGAAAACCCTTGAACTCCTCGCCATAAATTTACAGAATTCCGTAAACTGTCAAAATTTGACTACCGGCCTAGGCATTTAATAAAATACCTGATTTGACTAATGGCCTAGGCATTTAATAAAATACCTCATTTGACTAATTGCCTTCAACATATGTATTAATACCCTGAAGAGTTTTCTAAGGCACACCTTCATTAGTTTTTTCTCTCTTATTTTCATTTTAAGTATGTTCAACTAAAACTGGAGAGGATTCTAATCTTGTGTAATGCCTTGCCATTATAGCCTCAACGTCAAGAGCTTTTTTTGAGATGGACTTAGATTTTAAACGAACTTAGCGGCACTATGAGCATTCTTGCAAACTTTTACAGAGGACCATGATCATAAAACTATAAAACTGTATATTTCAATCCCTGACCAGGGCCGGATTAAGGGGGTGGCCACATGGGCCGCGGCCCATGGCGGCAAATCTAAGGGGCGGCAAAAAGCAATTTTTTAAAGTGTAGGTATAAAAAGAATTGGATTTATAAAAACAAAATTACAAAGGAGAAAAGGCGACAAAATCTCTCATTTCCTGAGAGTATAGTAATTTCTAATTTTGTCGTCCCTTAATGATACAAGAGACAGCACCCTCAATAAGTCGAGTTACGAGGGAAACCAAACACGCAATTTGGCCTAGAACGGCGCAACTTAGAGAGAAATGACAACGAGGACTTGAGATGAAAAGTAGAAGCCCTCGGCGCGGCGATCGGTATGTAACACATATTAGCGCCTACAAAACTGCACGAATACTTCACGCATTGCATCAAACACAGTGCGGTCATTGCGGTCAGCGCGAAACGGATAGCGCCTACAAGAATGCATGAATACTTCACGCATTGCGCCAAACACAGTGCGGTCAGCTTGAAACGCATAGCGCCTACAAGACTGCGTGAATACTTCACGCATTGCGTCTAACACGGTGAAGTCTGCGAGGCGCGGCGGCGGAAGTTAAAATCATTGAACCACATTTATGTTTGTTCTTTCATAATTTTTTCGTTCATCTCTTAGGAATGGAAGGCCTTGTCCACACAGAGATAGGTTTACGGAACTTAACTTTCGCGCAAAGTTTCGTGAACTTTTGCTAGTAGTATTGACAGGGTTTTCCCAAAAAATGTGTTCAACACCAGTAAATGCGTCTTATGCACCCGTCCCCCGCTGGCACGTTCATTTGATGGTTTTTATCGAGTTTCAAAACGAATAGAAGGGGGCGGCCCATGGGCGGCAAGTAGGTGAATTCGGCCCTGTCCCTGACAGCGCATTTTTCTCGCTATATTTGTTTGCCTTTCTAAGGTCATTATCTGAAAATTTCATTCAAAAATTTTCAGGGATGCTATCTTCAAACAAAACAAAACAAAACAAAAAAAAAATTAGCAGGACCGAAAATTCCAAATCACTCGAGTTGAGACATACAGCTGATCTGTCAGCAATAAATCCCTGACTCTCCCCCCAGAGATGATTAAAGCCACATGTTAAATTTTTACCCCAAAATTTTTGAAATTTTTTAGTAGACTCTGGTGGCGACAGCACAGCATGCCTAATGCCTAAAAACGGTGAAAATTCAGTCATGAAATTCTGGAAAAATATCATCATGAGTTCAATCTCAAGAGTTGTTTGTCGAACTCCAGGTTATTTTTTTGGTTGTTCGGGTACTCAGAACCCGAAAATCCCATGACATGGTACGAAACTTTCTCCAAAAAAAAAAAAAAAAAAAAAAAAAAAAAAAGACTTCCCTTTTGAATCTCTGCCCTTGCAAGAACTTCCCCTTCAAAATTTTATGACATCGTGCAAAACTATCTCCAAACGATTAATTTCATTTAGCATCTCTGCTCTCGCAGGAACTTTATTTCTAAGTCCCATGTTATCATAAGTTCAACCCCAGAGTTGTTTGTTGAACCCTTGGTTATATTTTTTTCTGGTTGTTCATGCACTCAACCCCCAAAAATTTTATAACATTGTACAAAACTCCCCCCCCCCAAAAAAAAATAAAAATAAAAACTTCATCTTGAATCTCTACTAAGTAATGCAAGAATTATGACATCGTGCAAAACTTTCTCCAAACGACGAATTTCATTTAGCATCCCTGCTCTCGCAGGAACTTTATTTCAAAGTCCCATGTCATCATAAGTTCAACCCCAGAGTTGTTTGTCGAATCCTTGGTGATATTTTTTTCTGGTTGTTCATGTACCAGTCTCCAAAAATTCTATAACATTATACAAAACTTTCTCAAAAAAAAAAAAAAAAAAAAAAAAAAAAAAAAACTTTCATCTTGAATCTCTACTCATGCAAAAATAACGACAACTTTCTCCAAACAACGAATTTCATTTAGCATCCCTGCTCTCGCAGGAACTTCATTTTCAAGTCCCATTGACGAGGGTGCAAGTGACGAAGCGGGCCCCGAGGGAGTTTTCGTGAAAGCTCGCCGCGGGGGGCGACGGCGGGGAGGGCGGATCAAGCAGAGGGGTTAAAAGTCATGACGCGCCGATCAGCTGTTCGGTGGGGTCACGGAAGCTCCGGGCGGGGGCGGGGGAGGGCGGACTTTGATTAGCTCGCGAGCGGGTTCTATTCAGTGGAGTATTGAACGTCGGCCCGCGTCTCCCAGGCGGCGACCCCGACCGACGTCGGCGGCGAGCGCGAGCGTTGCAGTCGCAGGCTGGCCTTCCGTCCACCCTGTCTCGTCGGCTCGGCTCGCGCCCCAGTGCACTCTTCGCGTCCTCCTCCGTTCGCCTCCCGGTGTTCGTCGTCGAGCGCCGTCATTTCCGCCACAGCCGAGACATGTCGACCCTCCGCCAGCTCCTCGTCACTCTTCTTCTCCTTCCGCTCGCCGCAGCCACCGACACCGCCACCACCTCCACCCAAGAGAGACTCGGCCAGAAAGGTAATCCTCCCAGTCTTTCTACCCCCCAGCTTCATGGCCGAAGCCCCAACCACCCCCGAAGAAGTCGTCTGGTAACGCAACACCCTCTTGCTAAAAAATTTCGTTCGGGATGCCCGATCCAACGTTTTTCGCGAAAAATCTGACGGTGGCACTGGTTTTCCCGAAATCGACTTCCAAGCTTTAGAAAGCTCTCGAAGTTGAGGCAATATTATAAGAGAGTACAGAGTACACGTCTACTACAGACTACTAGTACATGGACTGTGTATTGAGAGCTAGGGATGAATAACATCGGCCAAGTCGCTACTCTCTTTGTAGAGACTCTCTTTGTAGAGACTCTCAAGTTTCAAACGGAAGTCATTTTAGCTTGAAGTCATGGTAACCCTGTTAATGCATCCTGCCTTAGCCCTCCCTGAGGATTTTGATTGAATTCAAAGGTGATCTTAAACTTGCAGGCAGAAGCGATCACGGCCTCGACTTTTCAGAACTTTTTTGAGCTTTGGGGTTGATTTTACGAAATAACTAGTTGCTCCATCGTTATTTTCCGCATAGTACTGAGAAAATTTCTGCTGCATGCACTAACCCTTTGTCTGTTCCTTTTTTTAACTATAAATGGAAAACAACATTCTCGAATCGACAAACCTGCGAACTTTGAGACGCTGTATCGTAAAAACAGCTTCGAACTTAAGCTAAAACTTTAATCGAAAGCTCTTCGTAAGAAGGTTACATCATGGTGACCTGTCACCTTTTCAGCTCCTTCTCAGTCCTTTTTGGGAGACTCTCTCTTCCTGTAGGATATAGAAACTGAATTGGACGTATTTCTATCAAACGGAACTATGTGCATTAAGACATGAGCCCAGAGACCCATTAGAATACACGCATAACAGGGCTCACGTCATAATGCACATAGTTCCGTTTGATAGAAATACGTCCAATTGAACTTCGAATCCTATCTGTTATGGAGAAGTGGCCCAGGCTTACCATGCCAGGCTTTTTTCTCGGTTATTTTTGGTTGAAGGAAGTCGACGGGGAAACGACCCCAAGGAATCTGAATTTCATCATTCTCAACCCCCCCCCCCCCCCCCCCCCNGTACCCGTGAGAGCTAGGAGGGGGGGTCTTAATTTTGAAAAGCGGGGTTTCTGTCATAATTTTGATATCATTGTATCAATATCAGAAAGCAAGAACAATTTTAACCAAAACTGACCCATTCGTGTCCGAAGTACCTAAGTTCAACCTTTAAATGCGGGGGACAGAGCATCCCTCTGTAAAATCCTCGGTCGCTCGATTGAAGTAAAGGCCCGGAGAAAAATGTGTTTTTCTGGATAATGACCTGAAGGAATCCGAATCTGACGGTGCTGAAGCACGCGCCCCCTCTCCCCCATTCCCAAGCCTGACATTAGGAACCTGATGGGGCTTTGGACAGTGGACAGTCCTTCGACATGTGTCATTTTCAAGTTCAGCCTCCCTTCTTTCTATCGAGGAGACCTTGAGAGGGCTCGTAACTGTCAGATTCGGATCTCTTGGGGTTGATTGCCTTTCAAGACTGATTTTTTCCGGGCGTGCACGTAAATTAAGTGACCCCTGCATTTTATCGAGGGGATCTTTGATCCTCAAATTCAGGGGCTCATATGTAGGGGATAGCCCGATTTTAGACGCAGTGGTAGGTATCGAGTTAGGTGATACAGTTTCAGTACTTCCTGATTTTGTTAAAGTAATTTCCAAATTAAAGGTAGGACCCCCCCCCCCTCCCTGGTAGCTCTCCTGGGGAGCCGGGAGGGGACCTTGTGGTTGATAAAATTTGGATTCCGTAGGATCAGTTCCAGCAATAGTGAAAGCCGAAAATCCACGCTCCTATGTACAACCCTGCAGATTTCTTGTCTCGCATATTGTTTTTGTATAAAACATTATGTATTTCTTGAAACTTTTAAGCATCCTCAGATTCTCGATCAAATGACCAGTACTTTTAATACTCGAATATGTAAACTTTGCAATGCTGCGCCGCCAAAATTAGCTTTGAGCCCTTGTTTAACTTTGACAGCGCGATCGTCTCATCGAAGGCTCTAATCGTGTTGACATCTCAATGAAAGCTTTTCTGAAAGGACAAAGCTTAAATAGCCCTTTTTTGAGGAGACTCTTCCTCAGCAAACTTCCTCATCGGACTTTCCTCTAAGCCATCCTCGTCGATCGATTACTTACCCACGACTCGGGTCTCTCTCCGATCCCGAACGAAAATAAAAAAGCCTATCCCATCAACCGCAATCTCGATCTGTCATCAGCAGTCTTAAAAGGCCGAGTCCCCTGTCTCAAACGCTCGTGGCTCCGATCTTAAGATCCTTCAAAGTTTTGATCTGTTTTGGAATATCAAAGAGAGAAAAGCAGCCAGCGGGCGATTATTGAAATTGCGATAAACAAAGCGATATGCAAAGAAGACGTCGGAAGTATGAGCTATCCCACTGGAAAAAAGCACATTGGATTTAGAGTCCAGACTCTTAAAAACATCGCGACAAGAAAAAATACTCTGGATTCAATTGGATTTTTGCTTAAATCATGAATCAAGCCTCGTAATTTGAGCGGATTTCCTTTTGATCTAAGCAAAAATCTGATTGAATCAAGAGTATTTTTTCTTGTCAATGTTTTCAAGAGTCTGGACTCTAGACCCAATGTGTTTTTTTTCCAGTACCTATAGACTAAAGAAGAAAATGATGAACTTACTTTAGGGTCTCTCGTGGGTTGCCGTTAGTTAGCCTATGACCTATACCTCCTTTGTCTATGGCAACCACCTGCTTCCACCAATAGGATTCCTCCATATCCCCTTTGTCTTCTTTGTCTATAGCTTTGTCTATCAATTTCAATAATCGACCCGCTGAACGTCTAACGCTGAATTCAAAAAAATACTCTGGAGTATTTTGATGAGGATTATCGATTACGGTTTACTCCTTAGAATGCGTCACGTGTCCGGGTGATACATCATGTGAATAGAGTATGTATACCTAAAAGAACCAGACTTAAAGCCTTTTTTTGAGCCCATGATTTGGATCATTTAAATGGGTAGGCACAACACACGAGCCCTTTGACGATGGTGCGCGAAAAGCCCTCCGCGAATGGCTTAGCTCTGCGAGCGCCTACAAGTTTATCTATAGGCAACATTAACCACCTCTAAACACGAATTGATGCATCGAGGTGTTTGTCATTGAAACTCCAATCGACCAGTTTACTTTTTGCGTCTAACACATTAGTCGCGTCACAATACCTACTGCTCTTTTCCTTTTGTGCGAAATGACCCTATGTACGGTAGTTGTGAATTGTAAGTTTAAATTTTTTAACGAACAAGATTAATATGGCAGTGCTCGCACCGCACAGCTTATGTACGTATTTTGACCGTGAAACTAGAATTGCCCCTATCTCGGTTGCTGTTCCTCAAAACTTCTGCATTTTCGTCATCCTTTGAGGATAAAATCCTGTAGACCGGCCCCCCCCCCCCTTATGAAAAGGTGGCAAGTTTAGAAAGTTAGGAGATACTTGGTATTCGGGAGCTCAACTACTGAAAGTCAAAAGAAATATGTCCTTTTGTAATGTCCTGGACACAAATCCCCCTCCCCCATTTTAAAATCCGCCTTTGCTCCACAAAAAATTGTTTACCGTACGTATCATCGTATCTGGTGTTGTGAGGCTTTATACTGCCCTGTTAAGGAAGAACGCCGTATGAACATTCGAGAGTTGCCACATATTTCCAGATAAAACATGTATTTTTGACGAAACCTATGTATATTTTTCCTCAAAATTTTCAGATGTTTTGATTAAATTGCGTAAAAAATAGTCTCAAAAATTGGAAGAAAAATATTTACGATTTCCTCAATAAATTCGTATCTTATGAAAGGAAATTTGGCAACGCCTGGAGGTTCATACGGTGTTTTTCCTCAGTATGGCAGTATAGCGTTATACTTTTCCTGTCTCCATTCCGCATTACTTAGACTCTCCTGACACAGCTCATTCAAATTTCTAGTGATGTTGTTTCATGATGTACCTAGAGACTGGCGTTTTTAAAGAACACGCGTAAATTGCGAAAAGATAATATTTTTGGCAACGTTTGAACTTGGCCCTCGCAGGTCAGGAGGTCTGTATAATGAGGTGAAATTGGGCCAGACTACAAGTTCTGTCTACATCATGCATTTCCTCACCAACATTTCATTTTTGAAACGGAAAGTACATCGTTGCTTAGGCTTAGACCGCGCAGGGCACAACTGATTTTCGTATTTTTACGTCAGCTTTTTTTTGCAGCAGACGATATTCTCATCTATTTCTTGCCTTTCAACTCATTTCCTCCTTAAAATTTTTTTAAAGAAAGATATTTAATTTCGATTTTCCAATTTTTCTATCTTAGCACTTTTGTATTACAAATAGATTTAAAGTTTTAAGAAGTCCCAATACGACGCACCTAGTTCTAAAAATAATTCAAACGCTTCATAGAGTCGTGGAGTACCTCATTTCGTCGCAAAAAGGGCATGCCTTTTAAGTCTGCTTAAAAATCTGCGTTTCCACATTTACAGACGTGGATGAGAAAGAAACTTTCTTTAGCTGGTCTGCCTTTTAAACTTATCAATTGTCATTTACAATTTAAAGTTAGTAATCGTATTGAACATGACCTTTGCAAATTTAGAGAACACTCGATTGTAAGGGAAATCCTCGCTCCGAACTGAAGTGAGCTGATTTCCAAATACCTTAGTTGCAATGAATTTCAATATTAAAGTTTTTTTGGTTGCGTATTTCAGGCAAATGTCATACATAATCGCTCAATTCGTGGGACTAAAACGAGTGCAATATATTTCTCTACATTTAACACCGCACGACAAGTTGCAACCGTCTGTTATTGTGATTGCCTACCTATCAATTTGAAGGGGACACCGGCGTTATGATAAGATCGCTGAAAATGGCGAAAAATTAACAACAACGTGTTGATCGAAAGTTGCCACTTTATTCCTGAGAAGTTGTCACTGAGGAGAGGTTTATTTTGCTTTCAATGGGTTTTTCCGTTCGTGAAATGTTGATTAGGGTGTTTCATTTCGGCTCGTACATAAATCAAATGTCCTTAAAATTGCATCATCTGAAGTTTTCTACGAAAATTTCTAATTATATTTTCGAAAAGGCAAAGAACAATCGCACGATTTTTTTTTACAGTGACAATGTTAAATTGTCTTCAAAAAATAAAATATGTCAGGAAATACATAATGTCGCAAATCAAGATAAGTGGTTTTGTAATTTAAACACCGTCGTGAGGCCATGTAAAAACGTCTAATAAATTATTTCAAGTACCTATTCCATTTTCTCATGGATAACTTGCTCGCCTATAAAACAGGAAGTACTGATGAATGGAATCGAATCTTTAATCTTTTTATTGAGTATTTAATAATAATCTTGAAAATATATTTGTCTAATAGGTAAATCTTTGTGCATTGGTTTTATTTTGCAAGAGAACTGGTTTATACTGTTTGTTGACTATGCACAATTGCACAATGCCCTATTGAAAATCTGAGCGAAAACAGATAGATCCTCCAGGGCGTATTACGTTGCGAAACCCGACCACTAAGCTTCACCGGACACTTTTCTTTTCATGTGCAAGAAAAGCAGCATATTTTTCGCTGAAAATGTCGGGGACTCTTCTTCTGATTGAGAAGATTTTGCAAAATTTCTAAGGCAAAACATGCAATCGTCATTACCTTTGTAGGAAAATAATTTTTTATTGGAACTTGCAGTTTCTTTTCAATGCGATCAAGATTCTATGGCTCTGATTGCTTCAAATTCCGCTTTCATTAGCTAATTTTCATAAACATTTTTTGCCTTTCTGCCCCCTCCAGCAGTGGACAAAACAAGCGTAATTTTTGTTTTTAGTGCCTAAATTGAGGACATCGAAAGTAGAACCTGCTTTAGGCGTATTGTCAAATGTTTTCAGATTGCGCAAAAATGTCTTTTTGTGCTTTTCTCAGGGACAACAGAACATAGCGACGGCGTAGGTAAGTCCACAATCTCATATGTATCTCGTTTGCGGTGTCTGAAAATTTCCGCCTCTATGTTATTTTTATAAAGGAGAACAAATTGACATCATTTCTTGAAGTTTTCGCAGAATTTTCTTTGCGCAGAGAGGAAAAATTACGGCAGTTTTAAAGAATTGCCGTTTAGTAGTTTTCCGTCTAAAAAATAAAGAAGGTATGACAGGAAGTCTGCGACGTCGCAAACCGAGTTATGTGATTGCCGACTTACATCGTCGACTTACGCGGTTCTAGACCTTCATGCTTGGGGGTGCCCAGAGGTGGAAAATGTCGGAGACCGGTCCCGAAGGGGACGGTCGCTCAGGGAAGGCCTTAGTTTCGGCCCTCAAGTTTTATCCCTTTCCTACCCTCCTTTCTCTTTTTCTCTCCTTCCTTTCTACTTAAGTACCCATAAATTCAATGTAGAAAATTTTGAGCAAAACTTTCCATCAAAACTACAATCTTACCGTAAAAAACATTAGAATCTTTGTATAACACGGCTATCAATATTAATTCTGTTTGAAACATTTTCAATTAATTGCTGGGATTTTTTCTCAGCGAATACAGAATCATTAAAAGCAGTAATTTCACGGTTCTGATAACCGTACTTAATCTTTGCTTGGGGGTGCCCGGCACCCACTGGCACCCCCGTAGAACCGCCTATGATCGTCGATGTACTTATGAACTAATTAGTGATTTTTTCTACAAATGAATAGTCAAACTAGAGTAGAGTTTATAGGTATAGGTATGCGTTTTACGTGTGTACGTTTATGACGTGGTTTTGCAAAAGAGCATCTTAATTAATTATTGTCATCCCTAGCTCTATTCCCCTCTACCTTTTGCCCTTTAAAAAGCCTCAGCTCCGCCGATGGCGAACTCATTCAGCCGTAACGCCACTCTTCTATGTCGTGTACATCGAATTGGATTAAAAGAATAAGAATGACGTCTCCTCCAACGATGTTAGTGAGAATAATTCGATTTACATGGTTTTTGTGCGTGGCTTTGGGAGCGTTCTCACGAAGGCTTAATTCTAATAAAGTTTCGTTTATTCCGCCCTGACAAAAAGATTCTTTCGAAGAAATTGCGACATTATCGGGAGAGTTGACAAAAGTCGTGCCGTAGTCAGTCTTTTTGCTAAATAATTCCTCCCTTGATGAGCTTCGTTGTTTTCCGAGCGTGTTCCTTTGTCCTCGATCGTGTAATTAAGGAAAGATTATTTCATCGCATTGGGTCGATCAAAGAGGCCAATATGAAGCTTAGTGGTGGTATTTAATCATTCGAACCATTAGGTACGATTTTTTCTCTTTCAAATAATGTTACCTAATTTTATTTACTCGTGAACAGCTAAAATTCAATTTGGTCGGTGGGAATCCCTTGGATCCCTCGTATTTCTGCCCATAGTTCCCCCAAAGACCCTAGTTTATTTTTTAAATGAACGGGGCAGTTGATTTTAGTCGAAACCATCGGCGTCACCCGTGGAATGACAAACCAGAAACTGCCAAGGAAAGCAGTTTTCTCGTGACGATGGACTCTATATTTCTCAGTACTGTAACGGCGCGTGCGCACGTGTGATAGGCGACACCCCTCCCCCCCCCCATTTTTAGAATTCTTTTTCCATTTTAAGTGATATTTCAGCGTGAAAACAACCAGAAATTGCGTCTCAGCAGTAACTAATTTTCAAACATTTTCTTTTGGAGGACCCACCCCCTCGAGATCTCCTCCCCTTTGTTTTCAAAAATTCGTCCTCCTCAAAATTTCAGCCTAATTGCCGCCACTGTCCTAGTTTGGTCAAATATTGAATCCCCTGCTCTTGCTTGCAACTAAGAAACTTTCGTTGTCACAACTAAAATTTTACTCGACGTAAACAAGCACTCCTTATGAGTATTCTTCCCTCAGCACAATCAGGGAGTGCCCAAAGGAAACTTTTTTTGTGACGAAGAACTTGAACCTTCTCAGTGTGCTCAAATCAATCACTAATATCTTGTTTTCAGTGGCGTGGCGTGCTTTGCGATGTGTCGATTGATCGGCCATTTAAACCTATGAAAAAATATCGATAAACAGGGGGGTGTTCGCACCGAACACCTCAATAATCGATTATTTACCACAGCTTCAAACAGGGAAATATCGATAGATCGCAAAGCACGCCACGACACTGCTCGCTCTTGCTCTTGCTCAAGACAAGGAAACTTTCGTTACCGCAGCTAAGATTTTACCCTGCGACATTATTAGCTTCTTCGACGCAGCGAGTATTTTATTTTCCTCAGCTCGTACCAGTACCCACGTGCTAAGAAAATCTGTTTTTTTCTCGTGACAATGAACTTGATATTTCGCAGTGTCGTTCGACCACCAAATGGTCAACTTTCGGCCGAAGTATCACAAGCGCCATGCGACGTCTAAAATTTTCCGCCGCCATTTTATTTTTTTACGGAGAAATCGTTCAACGAAGCCGTCCGAAAATGTCACTGAATTTTCTCCGTGCTACCGATAAAATTCAGCGAAATCTCCAAACAGATTCAACCAACAATTTCTCTGTTTAAAAATAAATGGCGGCGGAAATTTTGAAACGTCGCATGGCGCTTGTGACACTTCGGCCGGAAGGTGCACTGGAAAAAAAAAACTCCGGCCTCGGAAGCCGTACTTACGGGCTATATAGACATACCGTCGCTCCTCTGACGTAAGGGCGTATCTAGATTTTTGCATGAGCCTCAGAAAGCATAGAGTTATACGGAGCACAGGGGTCACGGAGAAATCAAGTTACGCCCTTACGTCAGAGGAGCGACGATACCGTCCGCGTTCCGGGCTCAGAGGCCGAAAGTTCCGGGCGCAGCACCCGGAGCAATCAAAGCTACGGCTCCAGCACCAGGAACTTTCGGCCTCTGAGCCCGGAAAGGACGGTATGTCTATGTAGCCCGTAACTTTTTTTCAGTGTGACGAAACCTTTTCCTCCCCAAGTAGCATTTTTCAACTGAAAAATCGCGATTTGTTGCGATTTTGTCGGCGATAAAATCGCTAAGATCATCAACATCTGAGCGATTATCCTCGATCTTGTTGCAACAAAATCGCGATTTTATCGCCCGGCAATTTATCGCGATATCATCGCAACAAAAATCACGATATATGGCGATTTAATCTCGATTTTATCGACGAAAATCGATCGCGATTTTATTGAACAAAAAATTGCGATGTATATCCATTTAATCGCCATAAATCGCAATTTTTTATTCGATAATATTGCGATAAAGTGCCACAGATATAATCGCGATAGTCAACCGCTAAAATCGCTATTTATCGCGATCACTGCTCCTTGGGTCTGCAGGAACTTGATTTTTCGGGTTTTGAGGAAATGAGGAGACAAACCACGATAGACGTGGGAGAGTCGAAGCGTTTTATTGTACATTTCGGGTTATTTTACAAAGGCGTGAGGGGCTGCTGGTGCGAGGCGTTCACTCCTCGAAGTAAACGAAGGCGTAATACGAATCGGCGATGAAGACGATCCCGTTGATAAACGCAATGACTCCCGATGCTAATAGTTGACTCTGACTGAATTCCATCCATTCAGCCACGAGGAAATAACTCGTTACTAAATAAAAAAGACCGCCAATAGCGCTGATGAGAAACGTCTGCAACAGATGCCGTATATTTTGTGTTAGTTCTCCGATTCGGATTCAACATCACCCTCCCCCCTCCCCTCTCTTTCCCCCCACCTTCATTCATCCAAGAGTGCAGTGTTGGAAGCTCGTAGCCATAGGGAACCAAGTGACGGTTTAAAGAAAGTTGAGCCCAAGGATGGCTTTGGCTTCACGAGGACACTGGGTGAAAGCTCTTATATTCAGTGGCTATTCTTAATAGGTGGCAACACTGCTTTTTCTCAATTTAAACGTATGCAAAACAATCGATTCGTGTTGAGGCAGCTTGCCTCACCTAAAATCGATATTTTTAATCGAGCTAAATTCAGGAAAAACAGCGCTGTCGATTGCAAACTCGCCACCGCTCTCTCATGAAATTATCTTTTCCCAGAGGTATATAGGAACGTCTCCATTTCAATGTTACAAAATTTGTTGTTAAATTTTTTACAGGAATATGACCGTGAAACTTCTGCCTCGAATTTTTCTGATTTTCATTTGAGTCGGGAGAGAAATTTGTGAAATATCCAATTAGAAATGTCTTAAAGTCTCCTGGTAAAAATGAATTTTGCAACTTTGAAATGTAGTCACGTTCTTTTGTCCGGGAAACGACGAAGACACGCATAACTTGGAAAAACACTCTGTATACAGGGTGATCCAAAAGTCCCGCACCCATAGCACCGGGCATCGCATTTTAGCAAATTAAGATAGAGACTTATAATATTGTGAGTGTTCTAAAATCAAAGTAAACGACTTTTGAGTCCCCCTAAATTTGAAGGGGATCACTTTCGAAAAGGGCCAGAATCTCAGGGGGCGGGAGTTTTGAGTCACCCCTTAATATACTAATCTGTGAAAAGTCAAGAAATTCTGCCATGACCTTGAATTTTCCTGCACTGAAAAAAAAAAAAACATATTGGATCTAGAGTCCAGACTCTTGAAAACGTTGACAAGAAAAAAGAATACTCTTGATCCAATCGGATTTTTGCTTGAACCAAAACGAAATCCGCTTAAATTAAGCGGAGACTTGGTTCCTGATTTAAGCTAGATTCTGATTGAATCAAGAGTACTTTTTCTTGTCGATGTTTTTAAGAGTCTGGACTCTAGATCCAATGTGTTTTTTCCAGTGTGACTCTTTCCTAAATTTGTTTACCTAGCTTGGTTCGCGCACCCATCCGCGGCACTTAATTTTGGATACTAGATGTAGTTAGCGAAGAGAAGTTTCATTCCCAACATTTTTGAAGGGGCCGTCCATACATGACGTCAGATTCTCGGGGGAGGAGACTTGCCTGACAAACCCTTATAAAGTAGAGTGGGAGGGGACAGGGGACGTCCCCGGCTCCATGTCAATCTGACAAAATATCGTCGTAAGAAAAGTCTATCGACGTCGAGGTAAAATATGTTTTATAGTGTAGGAGTCAAAAATTTTGAAGAAGTGTTTGACGTCATGTGAGGACAAAGTCAGGGAAAAGTAAATAACGAGTCAAATCAAAGGATTTGTCACACGGAATAACATTTTTTTTTTCCTCCCAAAAATTCACAGTTCTCAAATACAATTTAAAAGTCCACCGGACGACTTCAATCCGAAGTTTGCTCTTTGCATGAAGCCTCTAAAGAATGGAAATTCAAACTTATTTTTCTCCTTTCTAAGTCCGTGTTACTTTACTTAGGCTGGAACGGGTGCCCGGTGCATGCCTTGAACTGAAAATTCTCTAGCGTTAAACCGCAAAGAAAAATCACCAAAAATATCAAAACGCAATTTTTTATCGATCTCTAGTAAATAAAAGCATGATTGATCGAAATTAGCGTCATAATATTGCACCGCAATTACACGCATATCGACGGTGAAACGACCAGACCACGTATCTTGGTTTGCGACGTCATCGTATAGACTTCCTATCATACTTTATTTTTTAAATGAAAAACTACTCGACGTCAATTCTTGAAAACCTTTATGTTTTTTCCTCTCTGTGCCAAGAAAACTGTGAAAGTTTCAAGAAATGATTTTGACTTGTTCTCCTTTAAAAAAAATTTAATTGGAGATTAGACTTTTAAACACCGCAAACGAGAAACGTGGCCTTGTAGTTTAGCCGTCAATATGTCCCTGAACAACCCTATTCCCAGTATACTATCCCAACTTTCCTCAAAATCGAGTGTTTTATTGGTGGAGAACTTGGCAACTTTCAAATGCTTGCTCCTCGGCATGGCAGCATTGCCAACGGATCCGCCTTCATTCTCGCGGGTAGGCAAAATGAGCTTCTGAAAGCCGATTATGAAACCTCGATCGATAGCACTTACTACCTTGATTGACAAAAAAATGCCGTTCAGGGCCAAGCCATTCGCCAAAGAAGGGATGAAGTTTTAATTATTATGACATTTTTTATTATTAAGTCGCAGTAGCAGTATCCAAAACTTTAATCGAATTCAGTTAAGCACAGTAGTTTTGACTACTTATGCGGCTCGGATTGAGTACGCAATCCACCGATGACTATTTTCTGACGCTTTTTGGGTATTAAAATGAGGATAAAATGAAGAAAACTCGTTGTTAATGTAGGGTCTTGTCTCCACGGGTCGTTTCACGGGATTTTTCGCAGGGAAAAATCCCACTTATGAAGTCGGGAAAAATATTAAGTTAATCAATATTTTTCCCAGTATCAAGCATGGTCCTTGTACCCCTGAGACCAACTGATAGAGGAATAGAAGGAGTGAAAGCGAATTGTGCGATATTTTGTTGGTTACTCTATTGTTCGTGTTTGTTTTAATCAACTAATGTGTCCAATTGCCAATCGAATTCAATTATTATTTTAATCCCGGTTTCATACTCGATTTTTACTTACTAATCTTCCCGCGCGCAAACTTGTTGCAGGATCGTATGAGCTCCGTCCCGTGGAGACTGTAACTGGGAAAAATCCCAGAAGTCTCATTCCTGCGATTCGAACTTGGGACAAATCCAAAATGAAAACGTCTCGTGGAGACAAGGCCTAGTGATTCTTCTAATTACGGTTTTCACACCCATTTGTCTCCAAAAAAATAACTTCATTCATTTCGCTGACAATATACGGGAGGAAAAAATGAGAAAATAAGCTGGGTAGGTATTTTTCAAAGAGGAAAAGATCACATTCACGCCGTGCCAGTTCGCCTTCAATTTCAGTGTAGGCAACACAAGCTCCCACGTGGTCGAATAGTTGTATCTTTGCGAAATTCACGGCACGCTCAGTTGTTCACTTGGGACCCACGCAATTAGAGCTTCTCACCAATCGGGTGCATCGAGATAGTATGAGATCAACAAGAATCAATCGAAACGGATAAGCGGGGACAGATCGGCATCAAGAAATAATAGGAAAAAGGTTCGTTTTTATTGCTCGATTGAATCATGTCAATGGACCAACGGACCTCTAGACAAGGTACGAATTTAAGCATGCTGACACACGTTTCTTAGCCAGAATTTCACGTAGAACACGATTCGCGCAACGACAATTACTGAAACCGACTCCTAACGGAGAGATTAACATTTTTATTTCACATTGGTTACGAGGAATTTGAACTGTCCGCTCACAAGAAACTCAAAGCTCTACGTGAGTCAAATCGCGCACTACAACGTCTCAGCAAGCTTTTCAATCGAGCAATGTTCATTTTACACCATTTGTTTTTCAAACTATAAGTAATTTGCTATAGCTGAGCCAAAGCGCCAAGATTGAGGTTGCCAGATTTTTTTATCGCAGAAATGTTCATGACAACGTTTAGCGCGCGATGTGAATCACGTAGAGCATTGAGTTTTCATGAGCGGGTGGTTTCAATTCACGCACCAAGAATTATTAAATATCTTCGGAAGGAGTTGATTCCGGTAATCTTCATCGTGCGCATCGTGTTGTACGTGAAATTTTTGTGAATAAACATGTATCATAATGCTGAAATTCGTACCTTGTCCAGTGGTCCATTGAAACTGTATCGGTCTGCCCAGGTAAATTAATAAAGTGAGGTCGTTAAAATGACAATAAAACAAAGCTAAAAAACAAGGAAAGTGCATTTACATCTAGACGGAAATCGCTAAAATTAAAAAACTCAATCTTTCCTTATACTTAGTTTTTGTCGCACGATCACCGCTGAAGAGGGAGGGCAGCATACCCTCCGGAATGTCGTCTGGAAAAGAAATGAAGTGAGGAAAATTTGAGTTTTTTTAAGTTTAGCGATTTCAGTTCTAATTTGAATGAGCAAGTATTAAAATCATAATTCATATAAATAGTAAAACATCTTTGTTGATCTGTGGCTTCAGTCACGGGCTTTTCGCTAGTCAGTCAGGAAAGTGCAGTCTTCAGTTTTTCTATTTTTCAAAAGTTTTTGAGTGAAATTTTTGATGTCCTTGTTCGTTGTCTGCTCTAGTTTCGCTAGTATCTTGACTGCAACCAGGACCTAACTTCCTATCCTTTTACAATTTTCTCGGTCGGATCTCTAATCTAGATCAAGGGTGACTCTAACAACAAGATGGTTTCAGATTTCATCACATCGGATCTAGGCTGTGATGACATCAACGTAGTGCGTGCCTTTCGTGAGCGCCGCTAATTCACGGCAACAAAAAACCTGTGACATTATTTGAAAATTTTGATCAATTTCCGCATGTAGAGATCCGCAAAATCACGGGAATCGTCCTGGTGGACGCATCTACACACAAGTATGACAACAACGAAAAGGGAGGCTGGGAACTAATCGCAACGATAATTGTGCTTATTTTTGCCAGCTAGCAGGAACGCTATTCATCAATGTTTATTGATTGGACATATTTAGTTATGCTAAAAGGAACTATGCTACAGGCAAACCCCATGCTCATAGGTCTTTTCAGCATTGATACGTTTAACTGGACGAAATGTCGCGACGCGTGGCGTGGGTGCAATTAGGCAGCGTTTAGTTCATTAAATCAAGTCACATTAGCTATCGCCAGATTTCATCACTGGACAAAACTATTTTGCAGAGGAACGGTCGTATAGATGTTTTAAAAAATCGAC